CACAGCAGCTGCCGATTTGTCGGCATAGTCTCCATTAGGCGCTCCACAGCAGCTTCCGCCCCTATTAGCCCACGAACAGCTGACAAAAACTGCTGCTGCTGCTGCTGCTGCCGCTCAGTTTTAGCTGCAGCAGCAGGAGACATGACAGCTTCGAAGGCTTTGGAGACAGCAGCAGAAGCAACGGGAGACACGAGAGGCGGCGGCAGCTGGCAGCCCCAGCACCAAGACGGCAACTCCAGCTGCTGCTGCTGCTGCTGCTGCTGCTGCTGCTGCCGGCGCAGGCGCCGCGGGTCTGCTGCTGCAGTCTCCTGGTATGCCAGCAGCAGCTGCTGCTCCAGCAGCACTTCTTCAGCTTCTCCGCCTCCACAAAATGTTGCACCTGCTGCTTCTGCTTCCACAGAATCGAAATAGTCCAGCAGCCCGGCCAGGTCCCCGCCCTGCAGCAAACCCTAAACCCTAAACCCTAGCCCTAAACTCTAGTCCCAAACCCTAAACCCTACTTGCATGTTCCAAACCCTAAACCCTTATTGCAAACCCTAAACCCTACTTGCAAGCTCTAGATGAACCCTTGCTGCAAACCCTAAACCCTAGTTGCACGCCATGACCCCTAAACGCCAAAATCCTAAACCCGAATCGTAAACCCTAAACCCTAATTGCAAATCCCAAACCCACAAATTCCACAGAGGGGCCCCGCAGGGGCCCCACAGAGAGGCTCCTCAAGGGGCCCCCCAGGGGGCCCCATAGGGGGCCCCACAGGGGCCCCATAGGGGGCCCCACAGGGGGCCCCACAGGGGGCCCCTCAGGGGGCCCCATAGGGGGCCCCATAGGGGGCCCCACAGGGGCCCCATAGGGGGCCCCACAGGGGGCCCCACAGGGGGCCCCTCAGGGGGCCCCATAGGGGGCCCCACAGGGGCCCTTGAAGGGTACTGTAGACTGGTTTACCTCGGGATCTAAAAGTACGCGAACGATAGGAGCTGGCAGCAAGCCATCTGATGATAGCTGCTGCTGCTTCTGCTGCTCTTGCTGCTGCTGCTGCTCCTGCTGCTGCTCTTGCTGCTCCTGCTCCTGCTGCTGCTGGTTGTGGTGGAGGTGCTGCAGCAGCAGAAAGCGAATGGCCTTTCTGCCCGCTCGTCTCTCTCCGATTTCTTTTGCGGGAAAGAAGTAAAGGGTGAACCCGTCTGCTGCTCCCTCAGCAGCAGGCTCAGCAGCAAACGCAGCAGCAGCGCTTGCTGCTGCTGCTGCTGCTGCTGCTGTTTGGCGAATGCCCACAACCCAAGTCAGAGTGAGGCCATCAAGATAAACAAAAAATTTGTCTGTGGCCCACCGAAGGACTTGAAGCGGCAGCCGGTAGGGCGACAGGGGCCCCCCAAAGGCAGCAAGGGGCCCTTCTGTTTTGCTGCTGCTGCTGCTGCTGCTGCTGCTATTGTTGTTGCTGTTTTGGCTGTGTTCGCTGCTGCTGGTGGCTCTGTCGTCAGCTGCAGATGAAGGCGAAGACTGGCGATGCGCGTCCTGTGGCAGGCGCTGTCGGAAGCTGTTGCTGCTGCTGCTGCTGCTGCTGCTGTTGCTGGTGCTCGTGCTGCTGCTGCTGGTCGTTTTGCCCCTGGAAAGTTCTTTCTCCGTCTGCACGCATATATCCAGGGCATTCTGGAGGTCTGCTGCAGCAGCTTGCTCATCGGAGCAGCAGCTGCTGCTGCTGCTGCTGCTGCTGTTGCCGGGGAGTGCAGCGGGCTGCCACTGCATGGCCGCGTAGAGGAGCCTGAGGGCCAGCAGCAAACAAGCCCCAGCAGCAAACTCCAAAGGACTTCCCCAAGAGTTTGTTTTGCTGCGGGGAGTCAGCAGCTTCCAGGCCTCAGGGTGGTTTTGGGGTACCCCCGAAGGGGCCACTTCGGGGGCCTCTTGGGGCCCCCTGGGGGGCCCCCTGAAGCGGCACCAGGGCATGCGGGGGGGCCCCCTTCTGCGCTTCCTTTTGGGTCCTGCTGCAGCAGCAGCAGCAGCAAAAAACTCCCCACCAGACTCCCCTTCCTTCCCCGTGTGTGGTGGCCCCGCTGCTTCGCTTTCCCCTTCGCTGCTGCCAGCTGCTTGCTGCAGCCCCAAGGAGAAGCCACCCTCTTCGCTGCTGCTGCCCCCCTCTTTTCCTGCTGCTGCTGCTGCTGCTGCTTCTGCTGCTGCTTCTGCTGCTGCTTCTGCTGCTGCTTCTTGCGTCGCAGGTGACGCAGGGCTTCCCGTAGACGCAGCTGGGCCTGCATCTGGTGAAGCTGCAGCGCCTGCTGCATCGCCGCTACCCGTCGCAGCAGCAGCAGCACCACCACCACCAG